GAGGCAGAGTTTGAACAGTAATATGAGCAGCAGGAAGGAGCTGTAAATACAGATGAAACGCTCAACTCCTGCTGTGTGATCTGATTCCAGGGACCCCTGGTTTATTGTTGAACATCTTATGGATTAGCACAATGATCCCTTAGAGTATGGCTGGAAAGGAGGAAGAAAAAGTTAATTATAACTTAGTATAAGTTCAGTGGATCCATTGACATGTTCTTGCAAGCGTAAGATAGGGAAAATAATTGTCTTCCACTATTTGAGCTACATGTTAAATTTTATGATGAATTGGTTAGAAATTCCTGGAATATTCAGGAATGGAGTTGGTGTAGGAGAAGGTATCCAAAATGTAAATATGTGTTTATTGCCTCTCCACGAGTCTCTAGAGAACAACTCTTTTCTTGTGCTTGGCGATGGGAAGAATGTATTTTGTGTGTGCTTTAATAAAGCTGTACTTAAGTTAGCCAAGCATTCTCTAAAGAACTTTGATCCTTCATGTTCTTTGCATCTGGGAATAGTGTGTGCTCAGGGAGAGTAGGTCTGGTGAGGTAGAGAGTAGATTTGGGCTGGGCAGTTCCTATGAAGGGATGAATGAAAAAGGAAAGAAGGCACTCCAGATGGTTCCATGGACCTGGTAAGGTTAAGGAGGGAATACCTCTGGCAGAAGTTGGGGCAGGGAGGGGTGGAGTTTGAATATCAAGTGGCTTTGGTGGCTAGAAAGGCCTTGATGGCATGATATGTGGGAACAGCAGCTATAGACTCCAGGCATCAAAGTATTTTTAATTTGATTACTATTACATGTGTTTGTGATTTTAAGTGTTATAGTGAACTATACTAAAACAAAACAAAAAAACAAAAATAAAAAAACCCTTTTTTTCCTTCTGTCAAGAAAAGTAGGGACCAGCAGTTAGCGTAATGGCTATGTTGCTAGACTCCCACGTAGTCGACCGTGGTTCGAGTCCTGGACCTGGTGGCCTAAACTCACACCGGGCGCGTGTGCGTGCGTGCCCAAGATCCCGAGAGGAGAATGGAGGAGAAGGGAGTGCGGCGTGGCCATCCCCCCGGGGGGTGATTTCTCGCTTTCTATCTCTCTGTCTTTCTCTGTATCTCTATCTGTCTGGTGAGTGCACATGCCCTATAGCAAACACCTCTCCAAAAAAAAAAAACCTCTCCAAAAAAAAAAAAAGAAAGTAAAATAATTTATTACTAACCTTTTGTATCAGAATACTTGTCAGCATTTACTTTAAATATATCTTATGTTGTCAAGATTCGGGAACGAGAAGAAAGAAGGAAGAAAGAACGAGAAGAAAAAGAAGAATATGAAGCGAAATTGGAAGCTGAAATGAAAAGTTATAACCCCTGGGGGAAAGGTGGAGGTGGTGCTCCTCTCAGAGATGCCAAAGGAAATCTGATAAGTATGTTATTTTCCTTGACTTACTGCTTTTGAAATAAATTATTTTTTCTTTTTTAAGGGGGGAAGTAGGAAGAAATGGGAATCCTAGCCTGTAAGGAAAAGTCTCTTTTTATGTAGCTTAATGCAAAAGAAGTTTTTTTTTTTTTTTTTTTGAGCGGTTTTTGCTATAGGACGTGTGCACTCGCCAGACAGACAGAGACAGACAGACAGAAAGCGAGAAATCACCCCCCAGGGGGGATGGTCACGCCGCAATCCCTTCTCCTCCATTCTCCTCTTGGGATCTTGGGCACGCACGCACACACGCACACACGCCCAGCTTGAGTTTTAAGCCACCGGGTCCGGGACGCGAACCGCGGTCGACTACATGGGAGTCCAGGGACATAGCCATTATGCTAACTGCTGGTTCCCCAAAAGAAGTATTCTGATAAGAAAATAGCAGAAGTTAGAAAACCTTCCTTCAGAGTACTTTCCATTTTTATTAAAATCTTCTGTCTTCTTATAACCTCACTGCATAGAAAAAGCTCATGTTGGTTGATAAATGTTTACCTAAATTAGTACTTATTTTCTATATTTTCTAGTAAAAATAATAAAACCTATAGTTCTAGTTTTTTTT